AGTCCAACCTAACAGTTCACTATTTACATATAAATAGCTCACCAGCTCAACAACAACACTTCAACAATTACATATCCTCAACAACAAACTCAATATTCATCAATCACAAGTTCCACATTAAGGCACTCACAAGATCAGCAACACACAAGATCAAGTTCACCAATGTTAAATATGTGCAATGCAATGAAATGCAATGTCAAGTATAATGATGCATGTCTAACCTATACACACCCGCTGTCTCTCAGTTCGGGATCCATAGGGGACATATTTGTCCATGCATCCATCGCAGCGTGCGACACTTCCCTCGATAATAGAAACCGTCGCGGCGTGTGACACGTCCCTCGAAATATAGTATCTGTCGCGGCGCACGACATGTCCCTCAAAATGGTACATCCTTTTTAATTTCTTATTCTCCCTCAATTCACATAACACTTATTACAATCATGTCTCAAAACCAATGCAAATGACATGTTCATACCAATAACGAGAAGATGACCATTTTTCATAACAATACACAATTCACAACAACACAATCGTGATACAACATCAACAATTAATCAATAAGCCTTTCAAATCATTCTCAACACATCGCACACCAATAATTAATCACATTGCCTTTTACTACACCTTTTTCATCATTAGAATTATTCTATATGGACAAGTCAAACCATCACCTAGTCCCATTACATCCCAACACATACCACAAGGAAATACACGATTCTATACACTTAACAAGGGTTTAGAAATTCACTTGCCTCAAATAATCGAGCAATTACTTCGGGACTTGAGTCTTCCCCTTTCATAAAGCTTCAAAGTGCTTTCAAATCTATCAAATACATAATCCTCATAGGAATACGAATCTAATGACACCCATATCACTATATTTAGTTTCAGCTCAAAAAATGGGTCAAAAAGTCACCCCGAGCCACCAAATTCGAATTTGAAATTTTCTTTCAGATTATGTTTATCCATGATAAAATAAACTCGCATTCAAAATTTCAGCTAAAACATATTGTTATTCGACCCCCAAATCAAGATTTTGTTCTAAGAACCCTGGAATTATATTTTCTTAAATAAGTATAAATTATACATGTTTCTACCCTAAAAATCTGTTCATAATCACATAAAAATTTAATAGAAAGGATAAGAATCATTACATTAACACTTTGGGATAAAAATCCCAATTTTCTCCTCCCTTTTCCTTTTTTTTTCTCCCTTCCTTTTCTTTTCTTCTTCTGCGTATTTTTTTTTTCCTCTGTAGCGACGCTTCTGTTTCTACGGACGATTGCTGCACTTCATCCTTTGTCCGTAGAAACAGAGGAAAAAAAATACGTAGAAGAAGAAAAGAAAAGAAAGGAAGAAAATGAAAAAGGAGGAGAAAAATTGGGATTTTTATCCCAAAGTGTTAAGGTAATGATTCTTGTCCTTTCTATTAAATTTTTATGTGATTATGAGCAGATTTTTAGGGTAGAAACGTGTATAATTTATAATGATTTAAGAAAATATAGGTCTAAGGTTCTTAGAACAAAGTCTTTATTTGGGGGTCGAATAACGATCCGTTTTAGCTGAAATTTTGCATGCAAGTTTATTTTATCATGGGTAAACATAATCTGAAAGAAAATTTCAAATTCGAATTTGGTGGCTCGGGATGACTTTTTGACCCAATTTTTGAGCCGAAACTAAAAATATAGTAATATGGTGTCATTAGATTTGTATTCTTTTGAGTATTATGTATTTGATAGATTGGAAACACCTTTGAAGCTTTATGAAAGGGGAAGACTCAAGTCCCAAAGTAATTGCTCGATTATTTGAGGCAAGTGGATTTCTAAAACCCTTGTTAAGTGTATAGAATTGTGTATTTCCTTGTGGTATGTGTTGGGATGTAATAGGACTTGGTGATGGTTTGATTTGTCCATATTGAATATCTCTAATGATGAAAAAGTGGTAATAAAATGCAATGTGATCCTTTGTCAAAAAAAATAAATGCAATGTGATTAATTATTGGTGTGTGAAGTGTTGAGAATGGTTTGAAAGGCTTATTGATTAATTGTTGATGTTGTATAATGATTGTGTTGTTGTGCATTGTTATGAAAATGATCATCTCCTCATTATTTGTGTGAACATGTCATATGGTTGTTATAAGTGTTATGTGAATTGAGGAAGAATAACAAATTAAAGAGGATGTACCATTTCGAGGGACGTGTCGTGCGCCGCAACGAATTTTATTATCGAGGGTCGTGTTGCACGCCGCGACGGATGCATGTACAGATATGGGTCCCAGACTGAGAGACAGCGGGTGTGTATCGTTAGGTCAGACATGCATCACTATACTTGACATTGCATTGCACATCTTTATCATTGGTGATCTTGTGAGTGCCTTTCTGTGGAACTTGTGATTGATGAATAATGAATTTGTTGTTGAGGATATGTAATTGTTAAAATGTTGCTGGTGAGCTATGTAAATTGTGAACTGTTAGGTTGGACTGGTTTTATGCAGGTTCGGTTGGGGTGGCAAGGAGTACTCGTATTCTATTCCCTTAGCTTGTGTTTAGAAGTTTACTTGCTGAGTACCGTGTGGTTTGGTACTCACCACTTGCTTCTACATTTTTTGTAGGTTACGTGCCCGGATCTTTGTGATATTTTCTATTCTCTTTTTTTTCCGAGGTTTCCTATGGAGATTTGTGAGGTAGTTGTTTGTCATCTCAACGGACATTCTTTCTCCTATTTATGATCTTGTTTTATTCTAGAAACAATGTCATTTGAGACTTGTATTTTTTTTTCTTTGAATCAATTATAACACATTAAAGGCTTGTACACGTGACAACCAGGTTTTGAGGGTTTTATTAAGTTGACTTAGTTATCTGCACTTGTGATATTTTGAGATTTCAATATGTCTTACTTCCACATAGTTTGTGATATTTGGGTTTTAGGCTGACTTGTCGAGTGCCATCAGATCCATTTTTGGGTCGTGACAACCTCCCTCCTATTTTGCTACAACTAGGAAAAGATCTTTCTGTAATTTGTAAATGGGGGAGGATTGATGAAGGAATCATAAAATTAAAATGCCATTAGGTCTCATTTCTTGATAGTCTCATGAGGGAAATTCTAGGAAAATGCACAGTTCCTTAATCAAGAAAGTGACCTAGTTTTCTTCAATGTTGAATTTATTTGACAAAAATATGCTGTCAAATAATTTCAACTTTGTTAGACCATTGACAGAGCTATGAGAATACGAGGAGTTAGTTACCTACTTTTTATATTTTGTTAGTTAAAGTTTGAATAGCCCTATAATTGGAACTGGACGAACAAACACATACAACTAAGAGCTTGTGTTACAATCATGCATTAGGGATGTTAAAACCTCTCGATATTGTAGGCCTTTGTATTTATGTGTTAAAAGATTTCTATATATGTTCATGTATAAGTAAACTCTCGACATATAATAGTTCCAAATCGAATCTCATTAGAAAGAGGATCTTTTGTCTCGTGGTAGCCTGCTCCAGTCCCCTTAAGAAACATTCGTTATTAGGTTAACCATAGAGAGGGAGGGCAGATCTTTTGATTATTTCATGTTTTCAAAGAGTTGAACAACGGGGTTTTAATGTTTTCAAAGATTTGAACAATGAAAGTAGATGGTGAGTGCCTGATTCTTACGTATTTAAATGAGATTTTGTCCCAACATTATCCCATCAAGAGACACATTTTTCTGTAGTTGTGGCTTCTTGGACAGCACTAAATTGTAGTTTTGTGTTACTTTCTCACTTTTTACTCCTAGAAAACAATCATGGGTAATTACTTTATTTAATTACGTAGTGCTTTACTTGCATCCTAAACAATCTGTTCAACTATGTGAGACTGTCATTTTTCAGTATCCTTTTTATTTTAAAAAACTGGGTATACTTTCTTCTTGATAGTTGTCTCCTTTTTTTGTAGCCTGCAATTGCCATAGCAATTAGAGAACAACTTTATGAGGTGAGAATATATCATTCATTTGGCGTACATGACCTAATTGTTTCTACCTGGATTCCAACTATGTGTTCATAGTTGAAGGCCAGCCACTTCAAGGTCTTTTGACTATCTTGGGCATTTAACTTTTCAGATTGCAAAGCAAAGTGTTGCATCCGCGAGAGAAAGCAGGGCTAATAAGAAAGGACGCAGAGGAATGGAACATCCCTCTGCCAGGTTTGTGTCATTGAGCTATGCTTTTTATGTTGATCTTGGTTGATCAAATCACAGATCTTCCTTTACATTATCCTCGGTACATCTGTTTCCTCATAATTATCTTTTTGACAGTAAAGTAGGTTTGCCTGCATTGGACCTGGGGAAGCTATTCAGCATAAAATCAAGTGTCGTCCGGTACCACTCTTGCTTTTTCTTAATATTCTTTCATTCAATAAAAAATAAAAGCCAAATCGAAACTAGGATTTTTTAATCTGTATTTCAATTCAATCATATCTCATCAGCAAGTCCAGTTTTGGAATTCATACATTTCAAATGTGACTGTTCTCAGGAAGAAGAGGGACGCTGATGCATATGAACCAATTGTCGATCACCTGTCAAATGAAGAGGTGGATGCCCTCGAGGCTAAGGAAGAGAGGCTTACTCGGTGATGCAGACAATGTCTGTTGGAATGGATACCAGCAGTGTAAAGGAGAACTTGTTTAAAGTTTTAGAATGATCCTAGTCATAGTATAGCCAAAATCCCGTGTTGTAGATAATGTTCAGATTTTTGCATTGATCTGGAGATCACAGTTACTTCTGTTTGTCAAAAGAAAATATGGAACAGCACTTCTGTGCTAATCTATTAATAGTTGTTTCTCTACTTGTATGGTTTTGTTGGATTACAAAATATGGAAATGGACTGGGTTAAGGCTGGGACAGCTGCGTGCTGTACCATCCTCATTTCTAAGTCTGTTGGCTAAAGTTCCCATAGCTACTTGATAGTGGTATCATAGTCTTTCATTAATCTCAAATGGATTTGTGAGTTTTCGTTTAAGCTCCTGATCCACACTCTAGTTAGGCCTGATAGAATTCTACCGACATGGCTGCCAGCCAGCCTCCTTCTAGTGCTGGTCAGGCCCTGCCTCTCTCTTATGATATTTCTTTTCTCTTACTTTAACAGCCTAACAGATTCAGTATGTAGGAGGAGTGCCCAGAATCACCTGGACGGAAGAGGAAGTAGACAGAATGAATGTGATTGAGAATCTACAGTATGCGATTATTGGCAAATTTTCATATGGTTGGCCTGACCTCGATGATTTGAGAATGCAAATACCTAAACAGTTGAAGATCATTGGTGATTGTAGTATTGGTTTATTAAGGAATAGACACATTAATTTGATTAAACAGCATGGATGATTTTGTTAATATCATGTCTAAGAATGCTTGTTACATTGTTAGCTAAAGATGGTTATGCACATCTTCTATGTGAAAGAAGCTTTATTTTCACTAGCTTCAGTTGTGGGCAAACCACTATATCTGGACATGGCAACAATTAATAAGACGCGTCCCAGTTGTGCAAGAGTGAAAGTTCAAGTGAACCTTATGACTAACCTTCCCAAGCGGGTGGAAATAGAGGTCATAAACCCTGAAACGAAGAACACAAGGATTGAGAAGATCAAGATTCAATATGATTTCTTGCCTAAATATTGTCATACGTGCAAGTTAGAAGGTCATAATGAAGAAGAATGTAGATCACTTCGTCCTGAATTAAAGCATGACAAAATTCAAGAGGGTCAAGAGAAAGGCGAGATTCCTCGGCAGCAAATACATGGAAGAAACTTCCAATACAACAGAAGATATAAGAGATTTGTCAAAAGATGGTGCTCAACTCAGAAAGTATTCATAATGGAAAAAACTGGACATAATCATATTGTTCCTAAAGCAACTCCTAATGGCAATGAGGGGGTGGGGACTTGTAAAGCATTTTGCAGTTTGGCAGATGAGGAGCAACATGATCACATCAACGCTGAAAATTCAAGTCAAGCAACAATGAAGAGTACAGACGATGAGGGGATACAACGACTTTCAGTTGTGCTACATATGCAGTAGTAGTTAAAGGTCAGGACAAATATGATTGCAGTCAACAAGATAACAAAAATGCCAGCAGCATACAAGAAAATAATAAGGATAACCTATGTGCGTATCTAGAGGGGGTTCCGTGGGTTCACGTGAACCCATGCTCCCCTCTCTAGATTATATATAGTAGTGTTATATTTTTTTAAAAATACTTAAATATAGATGTGTGAACGCATGTTCAAAGTATCATATAATTCTATATTGTTTTTTTTAGTAACGCCTCTCCAAGTGCTTATCGGTAACACTTTTGACGTTTCAAGTAAGTTTTCTTTATTTTTTTGCTTTAATCTTTCAAAGTTCAAGAGTGTTACATTGAAAATTTCTAAAAAAATTATATAATTAAATCAAATGTATGTTTAAACTTTTAAACTAGTAATATTATGTATTTTGGACCTATATTTAATGGTTCATATTAAGAACCTAAAGGTCAAACAGTTCAAATTTATATCTTAGACACATCTTTTCGTAATAATGCATCCATCCTTCTGAAATCCTGGATACGCAGTAGTCAAGTTGATGTGGAGAAGACCAATGTCCATTGTGAGGATAATGTTGACCTGCAAAACAAACATTAATTGGTGGAAAATCAGGTCAGCAGTATGGTTGAAGACATAGTAAAGAACCTGAACCACTAGGTTGAGCTTGAATACCATCCTTTTCATTAGTAGTTTGCAACGAAAAATCCCTCATCTTATGACCACTCTTCCCACAACCGAAGCAAACATCCATACCGGCTAAGCACTTTCTTGAGTGACTCTTGCCACACCTTTTACAAGCGGAAATAGATAGAAGATCTACTATCACCGCCTCCTTGAGGTTTAGGGTTAGACACCCTATCTTTGTTGAACTTAGGAGCCAGAACATTAGAAGAGCCTTGACAAAAATACTTTTGCCAGAATTAAGGATGACCATGTCCACCGGACCTAGAATGAGAAAAGTCACCATCATCGGTTCTTGCACTATTTGACTCCCTAGATTTCTCTTTTAACTTTTCCACTTCAATTTGTAGGCATGTATCATCAAATCAGAGATATCCATCTCTTTGATCAACATGGCGGTATGACACTCCTTGACCACCATTTCTGATACAGCCGACACAAACTTGCTCATCCTTGCCTTAGAGCCGACAACCATAGTCGGAGCATACTTAGCCAATTGAATAAACTTCAAAGCATAATGTTTCACACTCATGTTCCATTGATGAATATTAATCAACTCAAGCACCTTCACGTCCCTCATCTCAGGAGGAAAGAAACGATCAAGAAAATCCCGTTTGAATTTCTCCTAATCAAGATGACTCGCATCAATAGCCCTTTCTCCCTTCCATTGATTAAGACAAACTTGGGCAACACCTATGTATTAATAAATGACCAATTTCGCCTTCTCCACCGCTGAAAATCAAATAATTTTCACTATCTTCTAAACCTCATCAATGAACTCTTGAAAATCCTCATCAACCTTCGACCCATGAAATTCCGGGGGATTCATCTTAGTGAAGTACCTCACCCTTATCAGCTTCATACCCATACTTGGGTTCACGGGAGCAATGTCCTCTCTATTAGCTTAAGCCGTCATAGCTTGATCAAATACTTGGAAAGTGGCTCGGAATTCGACGTGAGTCACTTGCTCGGCCAAAGGATCGACCTATACTTGAGGAACCTCGGGCTCCACATCATTAGCCATATTCCTTCTTACGTTATCTCTTTGAGGAGGCATATCCTGAAAAACATCGGACAAGATTTTGGAAAGAGACCTTTATAGAGATGAGCTCTATGACACGACTTTAAAATAGTGAAATAAATGAAGTTTCCTAAACCCCTTGTACCCCCTATTCATAAATGTGGCGCTTTTAACACTCATGAACAAGATTCTACTCGAAGCGGCTTGTTAGACATCCTAGGTTCTTTTCTAAAACCTGATGCTTTGAATACCAAGTTTGTCACAACCTAAAGTACACCCTAGAACATGACGATCGAATTGAACCCCGAGAGGATCTAAATAAGTTATTTGACATAGACATGATGCAATAAATGGCAATTAAAGAGATATATCCAATATAACTCTCAAATCATAAGATGACACAAATGATATCAACAAAGTACATAAGAGATACACTGAATACGACTAAGTTTGACACAAGTCTTTCTAATATCATAAGAGTGGTTCAGAGATAACACAAACCCAATAGTCCTTGCAGGTAAAATCACATGCAATGCCAGCATGAAACTAACAAGTAATGCTTTATCCAAAAAAATGAATAGTAATGCTCTATCAAGTTAGAGAAGCGGGTTAAAAGCCTGACCTAGACAAACTTTCTCTCCCAAGCACATATCCCTAGGCTTCTTTCTTAGAGGTCCTCTCTGGACCTGTATTACCCTTTTTCCGGCGATATCCGATCACCGGAGTTCACTTTTCCTACCTTCAACTCTTTTGCACCCTCCAGTTTACCCTCTTTCAATGGACAATAGACTTTGTTTTAGATCTGGGAGAAAATCTTATGAGATTTCTATGTATTCATCAGATTCAGTACTTTGGTTTGATTGGGTGGAGAATGTGACAAATTCCATTAGAAGGTTAACTCTAAGTAAAGGTGCTTTACTCTGGTTATGCAGCAAAGTGAGTGATGCATCAGAAAATAAGGGGAGGAACTTTAAATCGTGGAGATGCAAAGATTTCTCTACTTATATTTATTTCTCTTAAAATTTCAATAAGTACGGGAGGTTCCTTTCCATTATTACAGTTAAGGGATATAACAGAGTTGTGATCATCATTCCAGAAAGTTCTTATAATAAGGGATGGGGCCTGGTGGCTACAAAGATTGAGGAATTTATTACAGAGAAAACTAGCACTCCTGGTGCATTTATTACAAATGGAGGTACAACAGAACATCTATTAAATGAGAAGGGCAGCTTCAAAGATGCTCTTAATAAGAGCAAATGGACTTTAAATGAAGCTGAGGTTACTGAGGTTGATGTTGTGAAGAACCAACTTTCTGTGAAAACTCAAGAGGCTGATAATGATCTTCTGCGCAGATGTCTAGTTGGTCGATTCAATGGTGGGGATGAAGTTCTGACTCGTAATGAGGTGAAAAGATGGGCTCAACAGACATGGAAAGGGAGTCAAAATATCCAAGTGTATGACATGAATGGTTTTCAGTTTCTCTTTGAGTTCCAATCAAGGAAAGCAGCTGAACACATTCTTATGGGCGACTGGAGAAGACAAGGGGTCATCTTAACACTTGATCGGTGGTCTCCGACAAAGGCCTCCTTTCCAATCCAAACCAAGTTTGATTGGTTTTGGATCAGAGTACATGGTCTTCATCTACACCTCTGGTCCACAACTGTCATGAAATAGATAAGTGATAAATGTGGAGGTTAGCTGGAAAATGAAGAAGAAACGGAACTTAAAAACCACCTGCGATGGGCTCGCATTCGGGTTTAGGGTCCGAGGGAGACAATACCACTGTCCATTGATGTTGATGATGGAAATCTGATCTTCTCTATGCCCATATGGGTAGAGTCGCCGGCGATGTACAAGAAAAAAGAGATAGTTACTAACCCTAGACAGGTGACTATAATTGGTAAAGGAGAACCAATAGTAGTTCTGGGTTGTGGAAAGTATAAGAAGACTTTTCATGAAAAAGGTAAAGAGGATGTAGGTCTTTACCCAACAAATTTTGTGGGGTCTGACACGCAACATGTGGTGTCAGCTTTAGAGCAGGTGTCTTGTAGCAGTGCTGAATGTTTGAATTTACAAGAATCTGTGGGGCCTGATCCAATTCTTTTAAATTCCACTTTGCCACCAGACATGGACCAACCAGAAAGTCCTTTTGGGCCTATTCATTTAAATCCCAGACCAAAGCCCACATTAGAACCATTTATTGAGCCTATTGGGTCACAAGAGCCTTATCAAGAGGACGACCGGCTCCTTTTTCAGAAATCAACAGATGAGATGAGCGTTTTAATTAAGAAGTCCAATGGATTCACAGAACCCTTTACAAATTCCATTCTAAGGGAGTCGGGCAAATCAGAAAAAATCTTTGAACATTCCAGCATTGATGAGGACACAGAATTCTGCATGCGAATGGAAACAACTCCCAAGAATTTTCAGAGCCTTAGCATAGACAATTTGCAGATCAAATAAAGCAAAGAAACAAGCGATCTAGTTTCAAGCCAAATGGATAACATCAAGGGAATTGACAGTGAGGGGGAATAAGGCGTTATAGAGCTCTTCAAAGAACAAATGGTAGAGTATGAGGACCCTAAACCATTAGCAATGGATGACAACATCGTAGAAGACTGTATTGAATCACAAGCAACGCTAAGGTTTCAACTCAATCTACTCAAACTTAGTCGTTTGTTTGGAGTCTCTACCAAAAGGTATGAAAAAGAATTTTTATTCCTTAATCATGAAATTAGAGCAAAACAAGCCAAGGGAGAATCAGAAATCAAAGGATAGCTCATCAAGCAGTAACAACGACAATGTCCCAAAGGAATTAAGGAATTTAATTTTCAACATGAATTTCAAGGATGGTGAGCCAAAAATCAGAGGGAGAAGCCTAACTATTGTGCAACAATGAGGGTAAAATTAGTTTCATGGAATGTAAGGGGTCTAAACGACGAAAATAAAAGGGGATTAGTTAGAAATCTAGTTAGTCAATGGGGGGCAAATATTTATGTCTTAGTGGAATCTAAACTGACGGGTAACGTAAGTAATCTATTGCATACTAATTGAAACAATAGATGGGTGGGGGAGTTGCATTTGGAAGCAGTGGGGAGCAGTGGAGGGATACTAATACTATGAGACAAAAGGATCTGGGAAGGGGAGTTAGTAGAGAGTGGTGAGCAATGCATTTCTTGCAAATTAACAAGTCTGAACCAGAATTTAACATGGTACCTGACAGCTGTCTATGCGAAGTGCAAAAGAATGGAAAGAAGGGATCTCTGGTGTGAATTGGGAGACATGAGAAGTCTCTGTGAAGTTGCATACTATTTGGAACAATAGATGGGTGGGGGAGTTGCATTTGGAAGCAGTGGAGGGATACTAATACTATGGGACAAAAGGGTC